CCTTCCATGAATTGTGATCTGCCATTTGAAAATCAGTGCTCTAGCTTATTCTGCTAAATCCTCTGAGTTTTCTGGTCTGTTAATTACTCAGCAGAAAAGCCTGTAAGATTATTTCAACTAAAGCTCTTCCAAAAACTTCTGTCAGAATCTACTTTTATTTATTGAAAGAACTGAGCCTTTTTTCTTCCTAACATGCAAAACACATTTGAAATATTAGACACAGTTTTTAAATGGTTATAGGAAGTTTCAGTAAGATAATTAACAAGTATCTGTTGATTGCCTGTGCTTTGCAATAGATAACCTAAAAGCAGTATTTATTTGTGTGCATGTGTGTACACATGCACACAAGCACACACACGCTAATAACATCCTTAATTTCACAACTATAGAAATTAAAATCCCAAAAGGTGGTAGCTTTTGTGACTGGAGTTGATTAGGCATGTACCCTAAACCAAAAAACTATGTGTTGGACACCCCCAGCCCACCCCCTGTCCTACCTCTAGGATTAGCAAGTTCAGTGGGCCTTGGATCTCCTGCTTGTCCTACTGCTGAGGACTGGGAACATTTTTGTGCATATCTAGGAGGGACCGTATAAGTCCCTCCCTACCATCACAAAGTGCCACAAAATCAGTTGATAATAATTGCAGGCACCAGGGCTGCGAACTAATTCTCTGATTTTTCAGACATTCCTACTCACAGGTCAACCCCTGTATTCAAAGCAAATAACTGAATCATCAGTGTTCACCATAAAAACTATTTGACCACATTGGACTTTGCAGACATTTCGGAGGATGCGGCAGTTGTTAAGATTTTCCCTTCCGCAGATGAAAAATCTGCAACTCGGAGAGAAGAACTCTGCCCCATCTGCTTGCACCTAGTGATCTTTTACCTTGCAAGGCTGTGGCAGGAGGAGCTGGCAGTGAGTGTCTGGGCCCCTCAGGTCCCTTTCCCAATGCTAAAATTTTCTAAGGGAGGGGTGGGCAACCTCTGTCCTGGGTCAGCTACCCTCTTCCTATCCTAAGCAGACCTGGGAGCTGAAAATGCCACTTTCACAGAGGTCAGGGTGGTTCATGGCCCCATGGGTGACAGTCCCTGCCTCACACAACCACCAGGCTGCTCTGATTTTCCCATAGAATCTTCTGTCCTGTCTTTCTACAGCCTCTGAGTTGAAATGGTGTTCCCCATACCCTGGGAAAGGTCACCATGTCTTGGCCTCCTGAGAATAAGAATATCTGTTCTCCCTAATGCCTAATGTGGCAGCACAAAAGATCCAGTATTTAGTCTTTTATTATTTTTTCAGTCTTACCTCTCCAGCTTCCTGAATCCCTTCCCCACTCTCAAAATGGGAGAAGATGATCCCTATAATCAGACTTTCTCACTTCCTCAAGGCATAGCTTCTGGCTTGGTCTTGCCAAAGACCTAGGGCTTCTCTAGTTAATATCCTTGAATGCCTGCTGCTCCTAAAATGCCTCCTCTTGCCTCAAGACCAGGTTCCTTGGCAAACACTGTCACCATCCAAGGAATTTAGCCAGGCACCTAGGGCCTTTCCTTTGCTTTCTCTAAATGGGCCTGGTTTTTTTCTTCTTTCTCCAACATTTACAAAAATGCTTTCAGTGTCTTCTCTCAGCACTCAGCACTCCTTGGTGGCCCCATGCACTCTCTCTGTGGTCACAGCAGGTAGGCCAGCAGGCTCTCTGTAGGTATCTGCCATGTTCCACACCAGGCTGGGGAAGAATAAATAAGCCCTGGTTCCCACCTTTGAAGAGATGATAGCCCTGAAGGAGGCAATAGAGCTGACCTAGAGGTCTGTTCTCTGACTCCTAATCCCAGCTTCCCACCAGGGCCCGTCAAATGCACTGGACAAAGCAGAGGTCAGTCTTATTCCACTGCCCACAGGGCATGTTCTTTCTAAGATGCAAAAAAAGAAACTCTAAACTTCTCAGCAATGGATGTCCTTATTGCTGAGGGTGGGAGAAGAGAGTAAGCCCCCCGACACACAGGGCCTCTCAAAGATAGAGCCCAGTCCCACAAGCAGCCCACAAGCAGCCCTGCTCAGGACGGGAGGGAGCAGCTACTGAGACTGTGGGAGAGTGGTGGCTGCAGCAGGGGTGGCCTTGTGGGTGTTGCTATTTGTGTCTCAGTTCAGTGTCAGATTGCCTGTTCCTAGCTATTTTCCACTGGTAGGAAAGGCCAAATCTGAGAGTCCTTTCAGTTTCCAACACCCAGCTACTGCCTCTGGGAAGAATGTTTGTTTTTCCTTTTTGGTGGGATTTGGAAGCTGTCATCAAGAAGTGGGGGAAGTGTGACCCTAGGCCTTTCCCTCTCTGGGTTCAATTTCCTCCTCTCTTAGACGATGGAGAGGGAACCAGTAAATATGGTAAGCGTTAGCCTCCTATCCCGTGGAGTGCTGGCCACTGTCCTACTAAGGACTTTGCACTAAGCACTTGGTATCACCTCACTTACCCTCACAGCAGCAACCGGGGCCACCCAGGAGGCTCCTGTGCTTGCTTCAGACTCTGCTTGCCACCTAAGTGTCTGCTGATCCTCACAGCCCTGGCAGGTAGACAGATGGCCTCTCCAACTTTCAAACAGAGAAATAAAAGACTTGAAGTAAGATCATAACCAAATGATGTGGGGTTAAAGAGGGGTATCTAGGAAGAGCACCCAGTTCTTTACATCCTGCTGGTCTCTCCTGACAAAAGATGACCCGCCCTTTTCACAAAGTAGAAGTTCCCCAGGGAAGAAGGGAACTTCCATTTTCAAGGAGGGTCTGCTCTGACTGTTGTCTCACCTTCGTAGTCAGAAAGTGCCTGGGGTCTCCACATTCACACCAGGCTCCTTGCCCTTCAGTTTCCCCACCACCATGCAGTGACCCCCACCTCTGTCCAGTCTGCTCTTTAGGCCCCTCCTCTGTGACGCCTTCCCTAATCATGTGTCTCTCTCCTGTCTGTGCCACCTGCTCACAGGACACGCAGCCATGGGCAAGTAGCATCTGTTGCCTTTTCCATTAACTACCAATGGCAGGTTCCCGTCTATGTGCCACGGGGGATAGGACCAGCTCTGGTGGTCCCTTCAGCCCCTCCTTCACCTATAGTGACATCAGTTTTGTCTAGACCCAATTCTGGTTCTTTGGGTCAAGGATTCATCTCTGTTACCTTTAACCACTGCCTGGAAGCTGAGCCCAGCATCCAGCACTGGGACAAGAGCCAAGCTGAGCCTCAGTTAATGTTTGTTGAATGACTGGATGGGCTTTTTGTGGCCTCAGAGAGGTAAACGAAAGCCAGGCAAAGCAATGGGAATAATTGTTATACTTAAAGACATACTTGTTAGTTTCAGGCCAGGTCTCAGCTCTGATTTTTTTTCTCTATCCCCCCACCCCCTCTCTTCTTCTCTCCTCTGGAAGCTGAAGCAAGATGTAGAACTGTAATGGGACTTAAGGGCTGTGAAGCTCCTTGCACATTTCCTAGTTCCCCAAAGTCTATTTTACCTCCTTTACCAAGGCGCACTGATACTTGTCAATAAGGAGGAAGTGCCGGTGTGGCCTCCTTGGTGACCCTTCCTAGTCTCCTTTCCAGGTGTTTACCCTATCATGGAAGTGAGAGTGACTGGGGAAAACATAGAGGCTTGGACAACCAGTGGGGGAGGCTGTCAGACCCCAGAGCTAGGGCCCTGGTCTGAAGCATTAACACAGGTAAATGGTTAACCAAAGGGAGGATTTTTCTCAGTGCCTCCTTCTCTGCCAGAGAACTCACCTTTAATCATTGGCCCTTCTGTGAGGTGTGAACAAGAGGATTGCAGGCATGGATGGTTAAATGCCCACCTTTTCCTTCTGCCCTCACCTTTTCAGAAGGTGGTGGGTCTCATACAGACCAGCCCCCAGGTATCATGGCTGGAAGGAGGGGCAGACACACACTGACACAGAAAGCAAAGTTGAAAATGACTCCTGACCTCTCAGAAAGTGGCGCCTTGGCTCTGAGACTCAAGAATGAGAGCAAGAAGGCCAAGCCACACAGCAGCCTGATTGCATTTAACAGAGGACATTTTAGAGTGCCCACACCAGAAACCACTGCCCTACCTCTGACTTTTGGAGATTTCTGCTCTCTTTCCTGTCCCTAAGGACCTGAAGGCCCACTGCCTAAGACATTTTTAAGTTTGCTAACAGAATATCCCCGTGCCAGGCTGCCTAGACCTCCCGGGTTGCCCTCACATACGTCTTATGTAGTGTAACTCCATGCTTGCAGTTCCATCCCTCTGGGTATTTAATGGAGTTTGGGGAGAATCACCATCGGGTTGCTTCATTTGTTCAGGCTGATTTTTTCCATTTTGTGCCCCCTGTGCTCATTTTACTGGTACCATCCACTCATCTCCAGACCCGGCTGGCCAGGACTAGCATGCCATCTCCACTTTGATGTGTATTCCTGCTTGGTGCAGTCCTTAGGGCCAGTTGGGGAAGTAGAGGCCAAGCCTTCCAGGGGTCCCGCCTCCATTTAGCAGGGGTTGGTCCTTGGAAAGCTTGGCGCATCTTTGGTTTCATACTTTATTCATCCCCAAGCCACTGAGAGCTAAATATGAGCATATCGTTAATGCACTCGAGCACATCTCCATGATCCTTCCCCTAAGCAGCCTAGCCACTCTGCTAAACAGCTTTGAACTTCAGACCTGATTCTTAAATCCATGGAATCCAAGAGGGGGAAGAGAACCTGAGGGGCCACCTGAGAAGCCAGCTTTGCCTCCACCTCCTTCCCTACTCCAGACCTGTGCCGCAGGCCCGGATGTAGAAACTTGGTTGACTGGACTTGGGAGGAGGAAGAAGGGAAGGGTGACAACAGTTCAGGCTACTGAGAAATCTGTAAAGCCCAGATACGCCGCCTCGGAACAGACCGTGACCACCACCTGCAAAGCTCTCAGTGGTCAAACCTGATTTTGATATCTACTCAACCTGTGCTCTTAAAAGTCCATTGTGTGATCCTCTTTAAAGAAATATTTTATTTTCAATACAGACACAGCCCTTGAAGTAGCAGTAAAAAACATCACCCCTGAGAGACACGTGGCTGTGAAGTGTTTGGGTATGTAACCTGCCTTTGCCCACACAGAGGGCTTTGTCCTGCTGCTCTCTGTGTCCTCAAGTGGGTGCCCTCTTACCCGCTGTGGGCTTCTGGAGACACTGGAGTGAAGGCAAGAGGTCACCTCAGACAGGAGGTACCTTCTGCAAGGGACTGCTGTGGGATAGGGAGTAGTTGCCATCCTTCACCCAACAAGAGTTTCTTTGAGAATGCCACTCCCTGCCCCCCACTCTGAAGATGGAAGTCAAATTTTCGGACTCTGCTGTGCAGAGCAGAGAGGTCACTAGGCTCTAATGCATTTACCATTGACTGCCCCTCTTGTAGTGCGTCTATTAGTGAGTAATTTGATTTGTACCTATTCATTTGCAGTCCCTGCAGGAGCCTGGAGCTGGCCCCTGGTATAATTGGTGCTGTCTCTATTTTTACATCATTAGATTAGCCCCGACTCCTGGCCACTTGTTGTCTGCGCTTGTCTGTCCATTTATACAACCTAATGTAACACAAAATTCATTACTGATCACATTACTTTCAACTCTGAAGCCAGCCTCGTGATAAACATTTGGTTAACCCCTTCCTACCCACAGGAGGGCTGACAGAACAAATGCACTTCTACTCGACAGGCAAATCGATATCTTAATACACCAAAGTGGAATTGCATTTCTAGATTTGTTATTCCTCCTGGAGGAGCAAATGGAAAGGCTCATCTGAGCGAGCTGAATTGAATAATGAATAGCGCCCCGGCACCAGCAGCCAGTCTGTGGAAGCAGCACCGGCCCAGCCTCTCTCATCTGGGCAGGCGGCAGGGCAGCAGCTCACTCGGATCCCGGTTCTCTCCCCACGGCCACCTGTGGGCTTGACAGCACAGGTTGGGACCCTCTGGGGGTCAGACACCTTGCCTGACTGCATTCCTTTTGCTAGGTTTGGCCTAGGACAACTGGACCAAGAAGTGGGTTGGTTTCCTTAAAATCTTATTCACTAATGTAAAGGCTCCCAGACGCGTGGCAGTGACACTAGGTGCCACCAGTTAAATCCATTGCTAAGCCTTCATATTTGAAAACAGTTATAAAAACTGTTCGTGTTTAGAGCCAGGTCAGTGAAACCAGGATCGTTTGGTTCTCATGAGCCTCTGTGTGTGTGCGCGTACACATTCATGTGCATGTGTGCGCTCTCTCCCTGGGTAAGGATTCCTTGGCATATGAATGCCATGTGTGCCTCTATGTAGTTCCTGTCCTCTGGTAGGAGTGTTTGTGAGCAGCAAGTGCTAACACAGGAGCTGGCCAGGAGTCTTAAAGAGACCTCAGCACGGCTCTATTGAATCTTGACTATTTTGCCCTACCCCCCCTTGTTCAGCCCACACCCACAATAAGTGATTAACTCACAAGATAGTATGTTTCAAAAGAAAAAATGCCCCCCCACTTATTAAGAAACACTCATAAAGCCTATACCACAGTGATTAGAAAAATAGGCATAGAGGAAATAGAATGGAACCCATTACCATGAAAGTCATAAATCCCTAAGTAAAAAGAAAGCATAAACTGGAGACACTCGGGTGGGTAGGGAAGCTGGGAAAAGCAGCCCATCCCGGGAACATTCTGCTTGACCTTGTGGAAGTCCTGAGCAGGAGGCTGAGGAGAGGCGCCGGGAGGTACCGAAGCTGAGGTTAGTGGTTAGTGAGTGTCCTTCCAAATGACAGGACACCCTCCCTCTCAGAGAGAACTGAATCTTGGACCCTGCTGTCCCTTCACCTGTTAAGAGCCCTCACAGGCCAGAAATGACAAGCACTCCTGTGAGACATGAAGTCCTAGGGAGTCCTTGAGAGGGCTCTGAAGCCACTCTTGTCCTTGTCTGTAGATGGTTCTTCCTCCCTGTGTGGGGGGTGGGGAGTAAGAAGTTTGGCAGAATTACCTCACTCTGCCCTGGGCAGTAGGGTCAGGCCAGGTCACGGGCAGCTCCTTGTCCCAAAGTCTCCAGAATCATAGCTCTCAAGCACTTCCCGTTGTGAGCAGCTGTGAAGAAGGGCATCCCTGTGGTGGGGTACTATAAGACCCCCATTATCTCAGCAGTAGAAGGAATCTGGTGTCACTGAGGTGAGCCCTGGCACAGTGGCTATCTCCTCAAGGTTGGGGGAGACCCTTTCAGGAAGAGTGGGGTCAGGACCCTCCCCCAGCCAACCACCCCTTAGAGTGCTGACTCTGCTCAGCTTTGGCCTCCACTGGTAACCCTCTCAGGTGGGTGAGTGGAGCAGGGTGGGGGCCTCTGCCTGCCCCACGCTGGCCCCGGCCCCATGAACTCTAGAAAACAGATAAGAGCCCAGAACAGGACAAACCAGTGGCAGGGAAGACAGCGAGTCTGCCTGCAGAATGAGGGGGCTGTGATTTCTTAACCTCTTTGGAAAAGGGGGAAAGCCACATCTTACCAAGCTCTTCCGCTGCGTCGTAGAGAATTTAATTACGTTTGGACATTTGAATGAGAACCAGATGTGGCTCTGGCCCCGCCGGCCAGCAATGTTCAAAGCACAGTGTCTCTCCTGTGGCCTGCAGGCCCTGTGCTATCTCACAAGGCTGCAGGCTAGCTCAGGAGGTCCCCTGCCTGGGAGCTGGGGTGGGGGTTTCCAAGCTTCGTGGCTGGACTTCAGGGGACCTGCAGGTCAAAGCCAGTTGCCAGGCACCTGGTTCCCAGGGAGATTTTCCAAGCTCTGTTTCCTCTTCTGAACCACAGGCCGTGGGCATGAGTGCCGTGTCTGAGACTCCTCCCGGCCCCTCATTAGAACCCAACACAAAGAAGTCAAGTCAAAGCCCCCAGCTGGACACTCGCCAAGCCCATAGGCATGTCGGCTGTGCTGCTCAGCTCTCGGTCAGCCTGAAAAGGCCGAGGCTCTGTCCTCAGTATTGTGTTAAGGACCTGGAGCTAGGAAAGAAGGTCAGCTCTCCCAGATGAGCTGTGCGGCTGCAGGGGCCCCTACTGCTGGAGAATCTCCCATCCAGTGTCTCTACACGCACTGTGCCTCTTGGCGCCCCATCACACTCTCTTCTCATTAGAGGTTTACACACCCAGTGAGGTCCCCAGAGCACACCCTCCCCGTCAACAGATGCCGAAGCAGATGAGAAGCAAAGTGATTTGCCCAGGTCATTCAGCACGTCTGTGACAGCACGGGGCCAGAGCAATGTCTCAGCCTCCTCCGCAGCCCTTGTCCTCCTGACCATCCACAGGGAGCTCTGTCAGGGCTTCTCCTGCATCTCATTGACTTGAGGCCTGGCTTCAGCCAGTCATCAGACCCCTCGGACCTGCAGGTGTGAGCTGGGTCAGCTTAGCTGTTTTTGTCCCCACATACAGTATGCTGTGACAGGATCTACTCTGCCTTGGCCAGGACTAATATGTTCTAATAAGAGTTCTAATATGATGGACTCTGAGAGGGTCACAGGGCATAAGGTACCAACCAAGGTGGTCTGGACAGGTGATCTTTCTGCCATCTCCTTTGAAGCTGAGACTTGGGGAGGCTTAGATGGTGTGAGTTTCCTGGGAGTGGAGCGTGACTGATTCAATTCTTTCCCTGCCTAGGATTGAGGTGGCAGTCTGGATGTTGTTGGGAGGGGACCTAGGAAAAGGAGCCAGACCCTAACCTGGCCAGTGCTTCAAAGGCTGTGAAGGAGAGTCCAGGGCTCTGCCTGGAACTCTGTGCCCTGCATGTGTATGTATGCGCGCGTGCATACACACACACACACACACACACACACACACACACACACAGTGGCAGTTCCAGCAGAGAGGGGATAGGGGTCATAAGGGACAGGCCTGGTGAATATGGGGCAGGACTCAGAGTGGCCTCCCTCCTGATCTCCTGAGTCCTCATTCTTCAGCCTCCCTCCCTCCCACTCTCTTTGCTACTTTTATTGCCCCATATTCCAACATCTCCTGTCATAGTGCCCCCTTCCCTGTCCCTACTGGGCCCACAAAGGATTTGAAGATCTAAGCTACTTCCCACTGTCTAATGGCCTGCTGTAGTGAACAGGGTTCCTAGGAGCCTGAGAACCTTTCCTCTTTGACTGTCAGAGGGCAGAGGGGATGTGGAAGAAGGAGTCGTGCATTTTGCCCAGTTTCTCTGGGTGGAAACTAAGGAACAGAGAGGCCTTGGCTTGCCCATCTCACAGTCTGCTTCATCATCATCCTTTCCTAGTGTTGATCACCACTTTTACCTTCTAGGGTCAGGGATACCCAGAAGCATCTGAAGTCTTCTAGGCCTTTAGGTCTCCCCTTGTGGCCAAGAGAAGCAGTTCCCAGATTCCTCAGCTGAAAGCAGCCAAGATTTACAATCACTGTTGGCAGCTGATCGTGGAGGCAGGGGTGGCAGGAGAGGCTGTGGAGTCTTGACTTCATTCCGTCACGATGTTCTGGCCATAGTACCTGAAGGAGTCATGAACAAAAGCTGGGCAAGGAGAAAGAGTATACTTGGCAGGCCCCATGGGTTGAAAGAGACTCCAGCCAGGAAGGACCCAAGCTGCAGCCCTTAGGCAGGTGTCGCAAGCACTCAGGAGTGCTAGGCTGTGTGTGGTGAGACACCGGAAGTCTGTGGCATCAGTTGGCCAGGGGTCTGAACTCAGACCCTGGGTGGTAAGCCCAAGAGAGCGCAGGCCAGAGCCAGGCCTGCTTCTCATCTGCTTCCTGGTTCCAGCAGCACAAAGCAGGATTCCTGTGATCAGAATAGGAGGAGCCTTTTCATCCTCACATCAGCTTCCAGAAGCTGCCCCCTTCCCATGCCTGGCAAGGGAACAAAAGCCCCTCCCTGCTGGAGGAGAAAGATGACTCCTGTCTCAGACCTCTCTAGCCTCAGCCCCAGCCTCCCAAGACCTCCTGGGAGTGGACAAAGAGAACCCCTAGTCTGTTGGCATCGCTGTAAGTTCTGAAGCCTGAGTTAGATTCCTGAGGGGGAAGCCTGGAGAGGGCATGAGGAGGGAAGGCGTAGGAGAGCCAGGCGGCTCAGAGGTGGGTATGCAGAGTTCCAGAAAAGTGAGGCCTCCCTGTAGGCTGCCTCCTTTAACTGTTGCCTAAAAAGTGCCTTGGGGGCTGAGGCTGGCTCCTGCCTGAGTGTGGTCTCTGACAGTGGGGCAGTCTAAGCCTGCTCCATCCGGGTCTCTCTGAACAGGCCCCCACTTCCTCAGCCATTCTCCAAGAGACAGTAGCAGTTTCTAGACCCTGGACTGGTATAAGACAAGCAGCCCCTAGCCATGTCTTCCAGGGTCACCTTTTCTAGCTAGTGTCTGGGCCAGCTCTCCAGGTTCTAGCCCCAGGAAGCTTCTGACCCTGCTTAGCCCCCACAAGATGTACTCATGCCTCCCCATCCCCTAGCCCTTCTCTCTCCAAGTGCCATTTTGCATAGCTGGTTCCAGGGCCTGTAAGCAGGCCTCTTGCTGACAAAATTGCTTGCTTAGGACAGACCCCATTTGAACCAATTTGCAGGACTTATTGACAGTCCTGTGGTCCCCTGGTGTCTTTACCATATACCAAGGGAAGATGCTGAAAATTCTAACTCCTTTTTTTTTAATATTTATTTTTTAGTTGTAGTTGAACACAACACCTTTATGTTATTTATTTTTATGTGGTGCTAAGGATCGAACCCAGGGCCTCACATGTGCTAGATGAGCACTCCACTGCTGAGCTACAACCCCAGCCCTAAAAATTCTACCTTTTTAAGGAGAGGACTACACATACAGACACACCTGACTCCCTACCCAAAACCCTCAAGCAGAAGGGTTGTTTTGTCTGTTGCATTCCTCTGAGCCAGGCAGTGGGCAAGACAGAGCAGTGTGGCTGGCCACTCTGTTTTTCTTTTCAAAAGGGAAAAAAAAAAAAAAAACAATGCCAACAGCCCAGCGTCCCAGGCAAGGGTCTCAGCCACAGCCCCTGCTAATGTGGGAGAACTGGGAGGTAGATGCAGGAGAGAAAAATCAATGCATGTCAACAGGGCTGGAAATTTATTTTCCATCTTGGAAGAGGGTGTTAGCAAAGAGGAAGGAGGGAAATGAAAAGCTGTAAACACATATCTGCCATCTACCTCCCTAGGCTATTTCTAGATTAAAAAGAATCTGCCCCAGGCTCCAGTGGGGGGCTGAGGTGGTAGGGGCCTGGGTGGCAGAGACACCTGCTGGGGAAGGAGACAGGGGAGGGACCTTGAAGTCCTGTGGATAATCGCAATGACTAATTCGATTGCAACAATAATAGTAACTCACATTTGCTGACTGGAATCTTTAAGCACTTTGTGATGCGCTCTACATGCATTATTTAATTTCATTCTTACAACCAGGCTATGAAGCAGACATTGTTAGCCTCACATTCAGGAACCTTGAGGCACAGAGACTTGAGTAATTTGCCCAGTCTCCCAGAAGCAGATGGCGGGAGCCTGCACTCTCAGTCTCTTCCCTAGACTGTTTCCACTAACCTGTGCAGAACCTTCCACTAACCTCCGCCCACCTTCTCAGCCTGGTGGAGGCTGTGGGTGGGGAGTGGACGGGGGGGGGGGGGGGGGGCAAGCCTCCCCCACCCCAGCATAGCCGGAAGTGGGCGTGGCTGTGGGACAGGCAGACTCCTCTCACAAGATCTAATCCCACTCCCACCAGGCAGCGTGGGTGGTTAGTTTAGGACTGGGGTGTGCGGCTGCAGCCAGGGCCCAATAAAAGTGCTCTGCTAATCCCTTTAATGAGCAGCATCTTGACGCTCACAGAGCAAGGCTGGCTGGAGCCTTGGAGGAAACTGGAGGGGTCAGGCAGTAGGCGCTGCTCCTTTTGTGGTGGCGGAAGTGCCAGGGCTGCCCCGAGGCTGAGCCTGAGCCCGCGCCCAGGCACCCTCTTCCCAAACACGCACAGCACTGTTCTCCCTGACCCCCAGAAACAGACTTCGTTCTAAATCCCCTAGAGAGATTCTCCACGGTGCCCCCAGGGTCTGAGGGTTGGCCTGTCCAATGAACACCCAGGCCAAGGTTGGACTTCAAAGTGTGGGCCTCTGCTGGGGTCCCCTACCCACTTGGGCTTCCCCAGCTTGTCCCAGCTCTCACTCGGGCCTTGTGCCCTCAGCAGCTCACACCCTTGCCAGGGAATAAGGGAATCAGACCACGGTTATGTGGCTGGTGTACCATCTGCCCCCAGCACAATGCTGCTCACGAGCTCCCACCCACAACTCCCAGGAGCATCTCTGCTCATCTCTGCCATGGTCAGGGAGGCGAGGTACCCCACTGCGTGGTGAGGGGCAGGGGGATATTCAGTTGTAGGCAGTCATGTTCTACTTCCTCAGACTGAGCATGACCCTCCCTTGTGTCTTCCTCCACATACACTCCCAGGTAACCAGGGTCACTTGTACCTAAGTCCAGCCACCCCTCTCTGCCCCTCTGATACCTTTGAAGTTTGGCAGGCTGTGTATGTGGTGGAATGAAATGAGGATCCAACTTTTCTCATCCCTTTGCTTTGTAAGAACAGAGACTCCTCCCTTTTCGTTGCTGTTTCTCCCTTTATCTCTACCCCATGTGGCAGTCCCATCCCAGCCCATGATGTGGAGGGGCAGCTGTGGGTCCAAAGCCAGTTTTCCAGGAAGAGGCAGCAGGGATGGGTGAATATAATCAGTGGTGGGGCCAGGTTTAATGGTGCCTGGGGGTGTCAGTCAGGGTCGTGTGTCCTTCCCTGGGACCACTTCCCCTCAGGTGGTAACAAACCCCAAGGCCAGTGGCTTCCTCTTCATCCTTGGTTTTGCTCTCTGGAAGTTGGGGATTTGGCACCCACCTCCCAGGAGCACCAAGCCCCTGGAGAATGTGAGGTCACATTCAGATTTTCTTATGTCTGGTCCAGGCATTTCTCTGGGGATTACTCCTCATTCCCTGCCCCCACCTCGGGACTGCAGAACAAGCTCTCTTAGAGCTCACTATCCCCGACAGCCAGAACCTCCATGCCTTTATCGGGGAGGCTGATGGGAATGTTCCTCCAATCGCAGAGTTGCCAACCTGCTCTCCTGGGGCCCAGTAGGTTTCTGGTGGACTCTTCCACAAGTTTATCTCCATACCAGGAGAGCTGCCCAAAGATGGGGGACTTGGGGATGGGGAGGAGGGCAGCAGCCTGTGCTGGCTGCAAAGTCAAAAGGTCCAAGGTGTCACTGGAAACTGGGCAGCCTATCTCCTCCCCCTTCCTCTCCCCAAAACCTACCTGCATGGGGCCTCATCTGGCACTGCATGGACCATAGGTTCCCATCTTCCGCCCTTCCCAAAACTGTTCTCATGCTCAATGTGTGACTCCTCTTCCCCCACCCCCCATGCTGAAAGGGTCACAACAGTTCCATCTCTGGGACTCTCAAGACCTGTCAGTCTCCAGCTGTTCACATATGCATGTCACTGTCCTTGATTGCAGGATTCTGCTGCCAGCTTACCCTTTTCCCAGTGTGACACCCCCATGCCTCCTCACACCCTCTCCACCTGCTTGCAGAGATCAGTGTACTTCTCGATCATTGTCCATATCTTTTCCAAAAAGATTCCTCAATGCTTTTCTTTTCAAAAGGGAAAAAAAAAGGAAAAAAAAAACAATGCCAACAGCCCAGCGTCCGTGAGCAACCCAACAGTAACAAAGCATGCGTTCGGGATGGAGGAAGGTAAGGCCACATGTTTCCATTTGCCGCTTGCTCCTAGGGCTGGGCAGCTGGGATGACTCCAAGGGGGGATCCTGCGTGCACCCCTCCTTCATGCCCCGTTCTCACATGCTCACTCTTCTGTCTTTAGTGGAAAGAAGAGACAAGGGGTTTGACAGAGGCACAAAGGAAAGTACCTAGGACACTATCCCAGGACCTTTTCCTATTGCTTTATGCTGGAAAATGGCTTCCCAGCTTCTCTTCCATGCCATTCATTCATTCATTCATTCATTCATTCCACAAGTGATTTTTAAGCACCAGCTATTTTCTAGGCTGTAGTTTTACTGCTGGAGAATACAGAGTTAAGGCACAGACACCCCTACCCCAGGGCTCTGCACCTGGAAGGAAATACACACTTGGGAGCACTGGAGGGCCTGCCTAGGAGTCAGCATGGAGGCTGGTGGGGCACAGTGGGTTCTGCATGGGAACAGGAAGTACTCAACAGAGGAGCAGACACCCATGCAATGCTTGGGAAAATGAGCAAACACTCTGGGGCCCAGGGAGCCTGGCAGGCTTTTCAGTCACAGGAAGTCGCAGGAGCCCAGGTCCAAGGGCCTAGAGCTGTCTACTCAGGTTCCTTACTTGGGTTCCTCAGAACAGTGTGGAATGCTGGGAGGCGGAGCATACAAGGCTGTTTGGTAGAGCTGGGGAGGTTAGACCTTATCCTGGGGACCATGAGGGTTCACTGATGGTCTTTAAGCAGATGAAAAGCAAGAGAGATTTGTGCACAGACCACTGTGCCTTGCTGTGGGGGTAGGTGCGAGGGTGAGGTCTGGAGGTCAGGAGCCCAGGTGGGCAACACCAGGGCAGTAGCAGTGATGAGGTGTACAGGAAACAAGTCAGCAGAGCCCTGGTTACCCCAGGATGTGGGGGTGAGGGAGAGGCATGCCCATCTCCCTCTTACCCAGGCCTAAGCAAGGAGAAAATTTTGAGCTAGGAAGCTCAGGCTGTACCTGGCCCCCAGAGCAGCAAATTCATTTTATAGTCACATGATGAATGTGGGGTGCGTCCGCTCAGATGTGTGGTGGGGTCACTGAGGCTGCTGAGGGTGTTGCTGGGGACTGACACCAAGGGTGGTGCAGTCCCACGCTTGGTCCTGGGCTACAATTTCCTCACCTTCCTTAGTGTGGATGTGTCGCATTTTGCATCAAGACTGTTGGGACTGTCCCTCTGCTCGGAAACAGGGCCACCCTTCCCCATACTAGTGGCCTTTTCTGCTCCTTTCTTCCTCAGCCTGGTGTCCAGATCTCAAGGAAGCCTGTGCTTTTCTTGCTCCTGCCATGCTCTTCTCTTGCCCTCCTGGCCCTGCTGTCAGCGCCCCCTAGTGCCAGGACAGCCGCGCAGGAGGGCATGGGCCTCTGAAACAAAGTGGTAACCTCAGAGGTCTCCCCCAAACTCTTGGCTTGCTTGTGGCTAAAGAAGGGAATGGAGGGTCTCTCTTGGAGTCTGAAGCTTCCTATAGAATGTCCAGGGTCTACTCTTTGCTTTTCCATCCTCTCCCTCTTGTGGTGTGATAGCCTGTACCCAGGTTAGGGTGGTACTGAAGAATGAGTAACCTCTTGCCTTGTTTTTTATTTATACCCAGATATCTCTTGACTTTCCCAGGATCAAAGCCCTAAGGGCAACTGGTGTCTCTTGGAGATCAGGGACTACAGCCAGGCCCTCGGCCTACGTCCACAGTCCCACTCCTTCCACTGCCTGCAAACTGCTGAGAGATAGCCAGTGTCCCTACATGCTCATGTCCCAGACTAGGCCCAGGTCCACCAAGGCTGTGCAGTGCAAGTGCCCCTAACATCTGACCCAGGTGCCTTCCTTGTTCCTACCCCACTCTGTGGCTGCGGCTGCTAGGCAGCCTCGGTGCTTGTCAGGGATAGGTGGCCTCCAGAGCAGGAGGGTCAGTGGTTATAAAGTTCCTGGCAAACTGGTGATGACCAGCCCAGGAGTGAAGACCACAACACACTCATTCCCTCACCAAAGCTGTACTTTGTATGGTGGAGTGGGGGCCATGCACCTGGAGCGGGTGCAGGCTAGAGATCAAGGTCTCAAGCCAGACCAGGCAAGTGTAATGTTGGGCACACCATGTTGTTTCTGGTGCCTGCTTTGAGGTGGATAGGCAAGACCCCATAGTCACAGGCTGGTGTGCCTTGGAGAAGCCTAGGCTGCAGGCCGTATCTCAGGCTGGGGAAGACTCTAGAGACTGTCCAGGCATGTGTGCCCACACGAAAGAACTAACAAGGAACAGAACCCGGTCATCTGCAGAAAGCCAAGAAGTGCTTCCTTTCTCCTTGGATTCAACAAGCAGGGATCCTGCTCCCAACTCCTTACCCCATTGCTGCCTTGGGTGGGTCAGTTAAGGTGCTAATAGTTGAATGAAACGGTTCAGACTGCCGAATTCAAGATGGCAGTATGGATGTGCAGAGGCCAGGGAAGGAGAGGAGCTAGGTGCTTCCTGCATGCTTTACAAGTTGGCTAAACATGTCCGTTTTGAGAGGCCTTTAGGAGATTTGAAGGCTGAGAGGAAGGGAGAAGGGAAGCACTCAGGCAAGGAGAGACCCTCTCTCCCTGGGAATAGGGCCCCCCTCTAGCCAAGCATTCCCTCCTACAGAAAAACAGGACACTTTCCAGAAGGTATCAAGGATGAACCAAGGCCTGACCAGCAGACAAATTGTGTGAGTGAGAACGAGTGAACAAATAATGGCTAAGCTGGGGCAGAAGCTCCAGGGACAGGTGGGACCGGAAAGGAGAAATAGAAACAGATCAGGCTGGGAAGCTGCAGTCCTGGCTTCTCGTCACCTGTAGATCCAGGATTGCAGACGCTGTGGAGCTGGAGGAGCATGCTGGCTGAGCATGAGTATGTGGGCAGGCACTGGCCCATGCCCCATGAATAACAGTGTTGTCGACCATCAGTGTGGCAGAACTTATAGCCTAACAGGCTTCCCCACAATGAGGGAAAGAAAAGACTAAGGTCTAAAATGAGTCTGCCAGCCAAGGGGGCTTCTCCATTCCCTGGCTGAGCCTCTCTGTGACCTGAGCTGCCACCTGGCCCTTCTGGGGAGCAGGTAGGAGCTCCCCTGCAGAAGGATGTGAGTGGACCCAGAATGGTGCCTCAAGGTGAGCAGCCTGGCCCAGGGTCTGCCTGCTCCCCCTGCTCCCTCCTCTGACCAGGCCTGGCCCTCTGCTCTGTCTTGCAGAACTTCAGCGAGAGGGAAGCATCGAGACTCTGAGTAACAGCTCAGGTTCCACCAGCGGCAGCATCCCCAGAAATTTTGATGGCTACCGATCTCCGCTCCCCACCAATGAGAGCCAGCCCCTCAGCCTCTTTCCCACCGGCTTCCCGTAGGTACCAGCAACCTGCTTCCAACTGGCCGGCCCACTCACCCACTGGAGGGAGGGGGAGAAGCCCCCCTCTGGTCCTGCCCTTCAGTCTGCTCCTCTTTCATCAACCACGTTCCCCAAGCTTAGTGACAACAGTCCCCCATCCTACCTGGATTGAGAAGAGACCCTTCTCTAAAGCACCTCAGCGCATCCTGACCTCTACTGTTCCCGTCAGTGGGGGTTGTGGCCAAGAAAGACTGCGGAAGCTCAGTCCCCTTCTCCATTTGCACATGATGTCCTGCATTGGATCCGCTTTTGTATTTTCTAACCATACCCACAGGGGCCTGGAACAGTGGCCAGATCTTGGGGCCTGAGTGGGGAGAGGGTGGATGGTCCAGCTGGGTATTTTGGCCCTGAGTGGATAGTCTCGGCCCCAGCCCACTTCAGGCTGTGATACACACTGCCCCCGGCGTCCCTTGCTCAGCTCCCCTCCAGTATGGGGTGAACTGAGGCCCAGAGTAATAGGGGAGGATGCTTTCCCCATCAACTCATGGGAAGAATTTATCTTTCTTATCTTTAAGCCCTTTTACCCTGGTCCTGTGCTGTTCAGTGAAGGAAACTGTGGTTACTGAGGCCCTGTTGAAAAGTGCACGTCTTGTCCAATAAATCACGCTGCAATTGGTGTCCATTCCTGAGTTATTAGGGTCAGGGTCCTCGCCAAATGCTCAACAGAGTACTGTGAGCTTGACCATGTGCCCCGGCTCACAGTGTACCCCACATGTGCTACAGTGGGAGAAGCCAGTGAGGGGCAGGCAGGGGGAGGAGGATCTGCTCTGAAGTTGGGGTGGGGCCTAATTTTAGTCCATTCTTCAAACTCTTCGCCTCTTACCAGAGCAAGTGAGTTCTGGGGGCACCAGGCATGGACCCTCCCTGTTGGAGGCCATCAAGGCCTGACCTATATGTTGGTTACTGAGAAGAGAGCTTGGTCAAGACCCTGGCCTTGCCTTCAGGACACCTTCAAATTGCCTCTTTTCAAGGTCAGAAGATGGGAGGGCAGCTAGGTGAGGGTGGGTATTCCATGAAACCTGGCTGGGACCTCAGATGGCAAGTCCTGATTGTGTTCCCTCCCTCTTCCCTAAGTGAATTGTGACAAGGAGAAGAGGTGAGTGAATGAGAAGGTGTTGAGCAGGGCGATTGAGGCCAGTTCTAATCCCTCTTCCCTGGCCCACACTTCTGAGAGATCCCATCGAGGCCTTGGAGGATTGAAGAAAACCCACTGAGCCAGGTGTGGTTTGAGGTGAAGTTTAATGGAACAGTTGTAGAAGGGTTGTGTTCACAGACAAGCAGAACTTCCCATCTTCCTCCAGGGCCCCTGCCCCCTTCACACACCCCATCCCATTCCTGGTGCCTGAGAGACTTAATCTGCAGTCCCCTCCATGAGATCATTTGGGCATGTGGGGAGAAGAGACCCACATCACACTAGACTCTGTAGGCTGAGGAGATGGTCCCTCCTGCCTGGGCTCCTGTGGAGTGAGAAACCCTGAGCCAGAGTGAGGTATTCTGGAAATACAAGCAGGCCTGGGCACAGCCAGTGGCAGGTGCTGCAGGAATGGGTTGCACTGGAGACACTGACATGCCAGGCATGGCCCCAGCCCCCAGCTAAGGTAGCATTTCAGTCAAAAGGGAAGAGGATGTCACCAGGCTCCCTGTGTATACTGCCTGTGGCCTGGCTCTCTGGGGCTGTGAACAGAAGTTCTAGGAAGCATGAGCCCCTTTGTACCCACCCCGGGGCATGTGGATAGGGTGAAGACCTTGCTCCCGGGAGCTCTCAGCCATGCAGGGAACCAGCAGAGCACCTTGGAGTCAGGAGTCCTCCCTGGCCCAGCCCTTCCCCTCCAGTAGGGGCAAAACAGCTGTGGCCTCCTCCAGTCAGGGAAAGTGGTGGGTGTAGGGCTGGACTTGCTGGCTGAGCTTGCAAGACAATCTGGTTATTCATCTGCTCACAGTCAGGGCAACTCTTGGAGTATGTGGGGGAAGGGGAAGGATCAGAAAGCCCAGATAAGCTGGCCCCAGGACGGCTGCCACTGGAGCTCAGGTTATCAGAAAGGCCCTGGACCTGGCCCCTGGCTAATTGGGGAGGTTATAGACCCTGCCATAGCCAGTAATCAGCTGGAAGTGTGATCTGGGCCCCAGGGCAGGGGACCTTACAGCCCCCTGGAGCAGCCAGCCTCCTACCTCTAAAGATAACTCCAGGGCAATCTCCACCCCCTCCTCAATAGTCCCAGTAGACCTTATGATAGCATCACCTACAAGGTCATCAGAACTTGAATCTAATTATGGCTGGACCAGGTGACCTTGAGGAAGCCATGGGATCTCTCTGATTCTCACAGCACTACCTATTCAATGGGCAAAATACTATGGACTCAATCTGATGGAGGGAAAATATCTTCAGGATCCTGGAGTGGCAACTCAAAAGGAACAGCACTGTTTGGGGTTGACTTGAGAAAAAAAAAATCCAGCGGTCCCAAGGCAAATTCATGCCCACAGACACAAATATTAGGACCAGCTTCTCAGGAGGCATGCAGAAGTCAAGTCAGGTAGCTACCATTCTGCAGCTGGGGTTTGTTTCTCAATGCTCATCTTTTATTTTCACAGGTCGGAGAATCTCTAAACTACAAAACTCTTTGGTCCCTGTTTTGCAGATGACAAGCCTGAGAAAGGCAGGGCTTTGCCTAAAGTCAGAGCCATATAGCTAGCCAGTTAAACCCTGTCTATACCTTGCTGCTTCCCATGCCCCAGCCAGTTCCCTTACAAGGGCCCAAATCTGACCTGAGGTCCCTGTCCTGTGCCCCCACATAATCTTGGACTCATCCTACTAACCCCAATGCCTTCCTTACCCCTTCAAGCTTCCAGGTCAGGGCCCCTGTGTAACTGGGAAGGCAGTGCTCTCCTGCAGACCTAGACCTGGAAGCTCTAAGGACAAAAGGAGAGAGCATCCTCGTATTCAAAACAAGACCTCAGGAGGGTGGAGATCCTGGAGTGTCAGTGTGACCTTGCTCTATGAGCATAAAAGGGCAGCTTGGCAGCAATGTCATCACCACCTTCTAATAAGGAGTGACTTTGGGCTTGCTCCTTTACTGTCCCAGGATTCCATTACAGCTCTGCCACCAGTAGTCATATGGCCTTGGGTGAATTACTGCACCTCCGGGCTTCAGGGTCCTCATCTGTGAAGGAAAGGGTGAGGGAAGAAGGGATCAGGAGCAATAGAACTGAAGCAGGCAAAGGGAAAGCTGCTGGTCAGAAAGGCAAAAGGGTGTTTGCAGGCAGGAGGCTGACAAGCCAGGCCAGGCTTGGTAGCTCATTGGCGGGCGAGGGGTAGGGTGGGCAGAGATGGCGCAGCCCAGCCGGAGCCCAGATTGTGCTGCCCACAAAGCTGCTCCAGAGAATCCCTGCCCCACTGCCTGCGAATCAAGAGCCTGGTGAGCACTAGCTGACTAGCCCCGCCCCTCTGTCGCAGGTGGGCTCATCCTAGCGGCCCAGTGGGTCCTTCCGAGCTTCACCCACTCTATCAAGCCACTCAGAAGAATGCGGGTTCACGTCCCCGCGATCCCAGACACCCTCACCCTTGCTCGTCCACGCATACACAGGTTCAAGACGCGCACCTCACTATTTCGACCTTTATGTCCTAAGTGCACAGCTTCGACCCGCGAAACCGCGGCCCAGAGCAGTAAGTAGTCCGCAGTTCCTAGGGTAACAAGATCCCCAAACTCTGAGGAAGTCGCTTGAAGTCCGGAGGAGGCACGGCCTGGATTCCAAGCCGCACTCTCTGTCTCAGGTGCTGAGCGACGCCCCTCGAGGGCCAGCCAGATCCATTCCGCCCCATAACAGCCAGGCTGGGCCTCGCCTTCCCATGAGCCTGAAAGACAAGGGACCTGGGCCACGCAGACCATGGCTACGGAGGCACTTCCCAGAGCCTAACGAGAGGAAGTGGTTCCGCAGCCAGTCCTAGCACAAGACCGCAGCCACACCGCGACCAGAAGGGGGTCTAGCCGCCTGCTCTTCCCGCGTCCCCCGCCCCATCCCAGTCAGTTGGCCCGACTCTGCGCGGGGTAATTGGGGCGGGAGGGAGGCGACGGGCGGGCGGCGGCTCCAGAGAGACTGCGCGCCTGTCAGCCGCAATTTGTTTAAGTGGACGGGACAGGCAGGGCCGCTGCGGGATGGGGTCACCGAGGCCGCGGCCCACACCCGGCCAGACCCGGGACCGCGGGGGAGCCCAGCTGGGCCGCTAAACCGGGCTGGCTGGCGCCAAGTCTCCTAGAGGCGCGGGTCTGGCACAGAAGCGGTGGATGGGAAGCAACTCACGGGAGTGTCTTCATTCACCCCCTACATGCGCGCGAGCGTTGCTCTCCCCACCCCCCCTCTCTCTCTCTCTCTCTCTCTCTCTCTCTCTCTCTCTCTCTCTCTCTCTCTCTCACACACACACACACACACACGCGCGCGCGCGCGCACACGCACATAGAGGACGTCAAGACGCACCGAGCAGCACCGCCAAAGCTTGTCATACTCATTGGACCACACAGGCCACCCGAACTTAGCCGAGGGACATTCATATACCCCAGAGCGCCTAAGTGCTTGGTTATCCCAGGATCACTCCAGTGCCGGGTTTCTCGCACGCACGCATATCTGTCCCCTCTGCCACACGACCACACATCCTTCGGCGTCCCCGCCATCCACTCCACGCGGGCTCATGCAAATTTACGCCCAATCACACGGACGGAGGGGCGCCCCGAAGGAACCCCTGCGATTTTGAGGATCAACCCGAGGGAGGTCCCAGCAGTGTTCCTGGACCTGCGAGAAATTACAGGGCCAAAACACCGACGGACAGCCTGGCCAGACTCAGGACAGCAGCCCCATTCGGCCCAGGCTGCCCCTGCCCCCCGCGATTTCGTTGTTGCGGGAAAAGCGGAGAGTACTGACCGCGCGCAACAGGCCCGAGGCCGCGAGGCCCGCGCCCGCCGACGCCGGGGCCCAAGACCGCCTGGAAGAGGGGAGGGGCGGCTGAGCGCGCGTCCCCCGCCCGTCTGCGGGGCCGGACCGATGCGAAGTGACAGGGGCCGGAGCTTTGTTGTGGAGCCTCGGCCGCCTGGCGCCAGCCGCCCCCGCCCGTGTCCTCCCCCTCCAGCCCCAGGCGGCCCGCGAGGCGCCCCCCGGGGCCTCTTAAAGAGACACGCACACTCGGCCCCGGGGACTCCCCCAGGGGCGCCGGTTCCTGGGAAGGGTAAGGGGGGGGGGACACAGGAGGGGGAGGGGAGGAGCGGGAGCTGAGAGCCTAACGGCGCCGCTCCAGGGACTGACTGGGCCGCCCCAGCGCCAGTGTTCGATGATCCAGGGATATTCCTAGCTGGAGTGTTTGGCTTGGGGGGCGGGATTGCGGGGGGGGGGGGGGGGGCAGATCAGTATAGAACCTTGAGAGCGGCAGTATCAGGACCTCCGGGTAATTGCCTGAGAGTGGGCGGGGCAAATGGTGGGATCCTTGACTGGCGAAAGAGCCTGTAACCGCTGCAGGGCAGATCCGTGGCTCCGTAGGTGAGATAGCGGTACCCAAATGCAGCCTCTGCACTGTCGCCACCGGATTTCCTGGGCAAATAATCCAAACCTGCGTATTTCAGACTCCCAGGTCCT